ATTATCGCCGGGAGGCAGTGACATTTCGAAAAGCTTTGAAAATTCTTCAGCTGAGGAATTTTAACGGATGTTTCCCACCTTTGATTTTTAAAAAGTCTTTAAATTTAAAAAAATGTTTTTACGTGGATCAAGCTCTTTACTAAAAGTTTGAAAAGAATAAAAGACACATGTATAAGACTAAAAAGCGGCGACTTGTGGATGATAACGAGCATAGGTGGAGAACAACAAAAGTGTCTATGCAAAACCACAAAATCCTTTTACAGAAGTAAGAATCAACAATTTGCCTAGGTGGAAGAAAAATGATACTGAGCTCTTGAAGTAATTACTTTTTTAAGCAGAAAATTGAACTACAGTGCTGATACAATGGTGTGATGATTAATGAAGAGACGGCTTCCGAACGCGAAATACGATCCAAGACACAATCCATACATACTACAAAAGAAACAATGCAAACTTGCATTTGAGCATGTCGCCAACAACCGACAGACACAACGCCATTAGTTGCCATGCAAAATTTATTAAACCACTGATCTGACAGTTAAAAAGTCGGTCGCAAATAAATTTTCATGAAAACACCTAATGCAAGTTTAGCCTATGCTAATTACTGCTCAAAATTCAGATCAGGTAGTAATTATGACAATTTTGGGCATGGTGAGGACTGGCTAAACAGTGTTCTGTAACACATTACCATGCAAAGAGTTAGCAGAGTCAAAAGCAGACTTTTCTTCACCACTAAACACACAATTCACTTAACGATGCCGGGCGGCTTGCTCAAATGACATCAGACGAGACCAATGTTCAAGCAGACAACAAGGAGGGGCTCACAGAGCGGATGCCTACATCAGGGCACATCGCTGGTCCGGATCGTGACCATCATCACTCATGAAATGCCCGAACTGCAGCTCAGCAACGCTTTCTCGGGTGGCCATTTCGTTGCCATCAGCATCGACAAGAGTCGTTTTGACACGATCCCCGGCAGGCCAGTGTTGGTTCTTCATGACCAGCTGAGATGGAGGAACGTGTCGCTCACCGCTCTCCGCACTCCAGACCTAAGTTACAAAAAATCATTATATGCAAATAAAACTGCAGAATCTATAGCCACAAATAAATACACAGCAAAAAAAAAACTGAGAAAAGCAGCGCAGCAACCAAAATAACAAAGAATATTACAGTACTGAAGCAACAAGAAAAAATACTTCACATCTTCGTTAATGCTTTTGAGAACACAGAATGATATAAAGGGAAGGATATGATTGAAACATACAGTAATGGTATCGCCGGGCTTCATCGTCTGTCTGGTGTGGAACTTGTAGACTGTTTCCTTGTCACTCGCCACGCTCTTAATCGCCCACTGGCCAATCGAGATGGTCTCATCGCCCTTGTTGCACAGTTTGATGAACTTGCCATCCGTATCATGCTCCTCGATCTCAATATCGCAGTCCGAATTTGATGTTGTCTGAAATTAAAGCCCTTCACTGAGGCAGACTGAGTCGCCGATTCCTGATGACATAGGAATGAAAGGCTGAAGGATGTCGGGGGAAAAGAGTAGAAAAGTAATACTTTGTATGTCTTGGCAGTGTTCCGGTAATAAAGACTGTCGTCGGATGCGATGAAGCGCTTTCTCTTGACTGCTCGACGATATCCAGAATCAGCGAACGAAACACTCAAGGCACGATCGCCAGCAGCTGATGGTGACGTCGCTGGTGATGACTGTTGCGAGATATTCAGTCTAAATTTCTGATGGTATTACTGAAAAACAGTGAAGACCCAACATCTGGGTTCACTCCTTTGCTTATATACCTTCACCGAGTAAAAAATAATGCTAGCAGGAAATTTTTTTTAGATTTTACTCAAAGTTTCCAGTACAAGAGGCAATAAATGTGATACCGTGATTCTTCGCCCTCAAGCAGATTCTGGTACGCTTTCAATTCGGTGTCAAGCTGAACTTTCAGGTCGAACAGATCTTGATACTCGTTCAGCAGGCGATCAATTTCTCCCTGCAGCTCCAGAATTCGCTTATCGCGTTGACTGAGCCGCACATCGTAGTCATCACGAATAAAGCGCAGCTAAAACATCCTGCGATAAAGGCCAAAGAAACATTTCAAAATTTCACCAGCATTCCACTCAATAACTACTATAACCATGCATCACAAGTGTCACGCAAAAACAGTCAATTTCGGAGTTTTCCTGCAAATATTTTGTCTTCCCCTCTCCTCTCCCCTCTCCTTTTGACTATCTCAGACAACTATAAAATCAGCCTCGTCAAAAAAACTCGCCTATGGATATGCCATCGACTCACGCTTGCATGTCACTCAGTGGAAGAAGTGGTACAGTTCCAGGAATGAATGAACGACAACTCTAACCTGACTCTCCAGATCGGCAATCTTTTTGTTCAGTGCCTCAATTCGGCTTTCATAACCACCGCCAGTTTTTTCCAGCTCGTGGATTCGAAGACGCATGCGTGCCACCTCCTCTCGCGCCTGATTCATCTGCTGACGTGCTTCGTTCGCTTCATTCAGCTTGTTCTAAAGCAGTCCCAGTTTAAACTGCGCCTTTGTCAAGACATGTGCTTGAAACGAAGACAGCTGTGACAAGTTATGCAATGCCTTGTGTGCTAAACTGTTTCTTTCTTCAATAAAGTTTGAAAAATCCCCACTTCAAAAGATACTTCACCAACAATGCTGCTTTCACTTCGCAAAAAATGCTCTGAGTCAACCGCATTAATTTGAAACAATGCAGAAGCTGTAGACCTTGAAAATTTGAAAAAGAATCTCACAACAAATATGTTCTCCTCTATTAACAGTATGCATACAGAGAATACTAAGCAACAGAAAAGCAATATAAGTGGTCAGCGCACCGACTGCAGGTGCGAAGATGCGTTTTTTGCATAATTCCACGAAGGTTTTTATTGCTAACGACACAGTTTTTTTCTGGCAGATGCTTCTAACTAAAAGAATTGAGACTGGCCATCAAGACTGTCAGAGAACATTCCCTTAAAATTCCAGCTCCCTAACCTTCCTAGTTCCGAGTTAGCAAATTACACAACAAAGCTTTCACGGGCCCGTACGCAAGAATCAAGTACACCTAGGGACTGCATCTGAAACCAATAGGTTCTAAATGAACAGGAAACACTCTTAAAATTTCAGCTTTCTAACTTCTCTGACACCAGTATTAGCAATTTAGCCGCCAAAAATTTCCGCAAGTGAGAATTACATGTATAAGCGTCCAATTTGGGGATAGGAGGCAGTATGCGTTCCTGCACTGCACAGATGCAAAACGCACAAAAACTGAGAAAAACAGCCAGTTTTGAGAAATTTTTTCCAACGATTCAGAGAAGCAACGGTTAAGTATGCAGACTGATGCCTAAATGCATACGCGCTGAGATCGGCTTGCAAGCTGCTGAAGTGAAGAAGCAGGGGTAAACTCACCTTGTATGTTTCATCGATGTCACGGCGATTTCTGTTCAAGCGTGCATCGAACTCGGCGCGCATTGCCTGGAGCTGTTCCTGAAGACGCGACTCGTACGTGCGCTCCATCTCGCGAGCGGTCGTGGTCATCTCCACTTGGCGTTTTCGATGTATCTCCTCCAGCTGCTGCAAACACAATAACTGTTTGCATTAGCTAACAGAAATCATGCCATAACAAAGAAAGCGACGAAGCCAGGAGACTCAAAGTATCCGCCCGTCTTTGCGACTAAAGAAAAAACAGTTTGGTGAAAACACTTGCACAAAAAAAGTAGGCTTTGCAGGGTGGAGATAAAATCGAGTGGGCATCTCCCTCAGTGAACAATGTTTATAAACTAGGAAACCAGCACTCGGATGTCTCTAACAAAATGAATGGGGCGTATTTATGCTTTACATGGCTACGCTCTGCAATACATCAGTAAAGTCAAATATCACACAAATAGCCCAAGCACTCTTGCTGACAGTAAGCTTTTCAGGCATTTTCAGAAACAGTCACTTTTCACAACAGACTGTTTTCTTGCTTAAAAATTCTACTGCAAAAGAGCTTAGCTGGAAGGGCATGATTTCTAGGCCACAACGAAAGGGAGGGAAAGAGCCGAAGCATGAAGCTCACGTCCGCTTCCTTATAAAATCTTATCCTTAGTAACAGCAAGACGCGATTAGAAGCTTAGTCGAACAAAAGTGACGAAATTTCTCCGTGGCAAGCTTAGAGCTCAAGGTCTGTACTCGTTGTGTCACAACACATTAATCTGCTGCAAATGGTATACTACAGCAAATGCCAGTGCGCTGGGAACTGTGAGAAAAACCCAAAAATTTTAAATTCAGTCCTCTTGTAAGCCTAGGTCTCATTTATGGGCATATGAAGTTTTGGCGATAAAATTGCTGAGTCGATAAGAAAAACTAGAAAACTAAAATTTAAAGAGGATGTTATGTGACCATGTGCGAGACAGAAAATTTCAGATCCAGCATCCGCATATGCCTACACCTCACGTATGAAAGCCGACAGAAAATTTCTCAATTTCGGAACCAGACAAGGCAAAAAGAAGAAATTTCAAGAGGATTTTCCCTATACATGCGCGACACTAAAATTTCAGATTCAACTCCCATGCATATCTAGATCTTGCAAACTGAAAAGTATGAGTTTTGGCCGAACAAAGCATTCTGTCGACTTCTGCACACACTAAGCAGCAATGTAGCACGAATCTTTGATGGCAAACCCTGCCAGACAGGAATTTTTGTAAAAAATGTGTGATCACACCAGTTACCCTGGTGCAAGCCGCTACTTATTTCTCTTAAGACTTACGCCCTCATGCGTCTTCTTCAGGAAATCGTAATCCTCCTTGAGAGATTGATTCTGATTGTGGAGCGCTGTGTTTGCGAGTGTTTCATCCTCCAGTTGCTTGCGTAGGATTTCCAGTTGCCGCTTCAGTTCTTCATTTTCGGCAACCACATTCTGAATCATTTCATCAATCAAACCTCCAAAAACAAGAGTGCGAAAGAAAAGTTTGTGAAAAGACGCACCTTGTCCACGTCCTCCAAATGTTTGAGCTTGTTCTCCGCAGAATTAAGACGTGCCTGGAGATCTTGGATCAAATTATCGCCGCTTAGA